GGAAGAAGGGGTTTGCTTTGCTTGCTGAGGGAAGTGGTCCCTCTTGTATGGAGGGCTGGTATCGCCACAATTTGATTTCCAGCCTGGGGGGCTGAACTTGCAGTAAGGTGATAATTAGAGAGGAGAGCCCCCCTCCTCTCACTTGAAAGGTGGAGTCTCGCTGTGCCCTGTGCCCAGCCGGCATTCCCGGGTCGTCACAGCCACGTTCCACGCGGTTTGGTGTTTGTTATTATTTGCAGCACATCATCAGCACATTCAGTTGCCTTTACCCAGAGAGCTTCTAATTGCGGCACCGTTTGAGGAGGGGGGAAGTGTTTTAACATCAGCTTAGCTAACAACAGCTTAACACAGCCTAGCTCATAGGGCTTAATTCATGCCCTGATCTTTGCAAACAGAGAAACCTTTCAGTCTTGGAGGCATCTCTCCCGCACCGCGGTGTTACCGGAGCCGCTTGCGTGAGCTTATTGTTGCCGTAAAAGCCGAGTGAAGTTTGGATTTGCCGGTGCCCACTGAGCCAGATTTGTGAAGCACAAATGAGAAAACCTGCCCTGGCCTCCCTTTCCCATAAAAAGCTGCTCAGGTGGCTTAGTGTGGCAGGCTAATGGGGAGGAGGCGGCTGCTGCACCTGCTAATGCTTTGGCTCAGGCTGGTGGCACAGAGGCAGCCGTGAATTCCCCCTGAGCAGCAAGCTGTTAGTGGCAGGAATGCCTCGCTCCGAGGAGCGCTCCTGCTACGACAACAAAGAGCCCTTTGATCCTTTCCATTTGGAGAACTTAAAACGAGAAAGCCAAACTACAATAAGACCAAGTTGGGTCATAAAAAGGAGAGCAGGAGCACCAAAGCGCTCCAGAGTGTAATTGTAGAAGCAGCAAATGCTTTGGCACTTAATTCTGCTTTAGTGTCAGTTCAATGTGTTTCATGTTTAATACCGGAGAGCCTGTCGCCAAATGCTCTGCACAAACAATCCGGTGCTGCTCCTTGGTAAGCTCAGGGCACTTGGAGCTGGTTCCCAGCTATTATTTAGAGGAGATGCTCTGCTGGAGCCCGTGCTTCATGCTGCCTGGGCTGTGCGAGTTCCTGGTGTCCCTTCCCTCTGCCTGGACCTGGGTGATGCCCTAGGGGTTTCTGTGGAAGGCGTCATTTAGAGCAGGCACTTTATAAGGCATTTATCCTGAGCCTGGCTAACGGGTACCACACCTTCCCATGGCTGCCCGGGGTGTGCTTAAACAAAAAGTGCTCTGAATTACCTCTGCAAAGAGCTCAGCTGCAAGGTGTCACCTCCGCGGTGGCATGGCCTTGTCGCAGGGTCAGGCAGCTGCTCCTGGGGGCAAAACTGGTGATTTGGGGGTGGCTTGTGACAGGTATAAGGAGGATCTCACCCCGCTCTGAGCAGAGAGCTCGGCTGGAGATGCTGCCCGTGGGGTGGTGGTGAGTGAAATGCAGGAGCAGCTCATCTGCCACGCACGTGTGGAACACCGTGATGTGGGGCTGGTGGGGATGCGGGGCTGGGTGTGGGTCCTTCTCACTGTGTGGCTGTGGCATCACACCAGGCCAGGCGATTCCTGCACAGCTCCCAGGCTTTCAAGAGCTCTTCTTTATTTTAAAGCATCAGTTCAAACCAAGCCTCCATGTTTTGAAGGGTGAGCGCTCTGCAAGGTGCATCCTGACAGCTATGTATGAAATGTGGCTTGGCAGCACCTCCCGGCTGATGCTGCAGTGGAGGGTGCAGCCCCATATCAGCAGCATTTGCACTGGGAGCTCTTGGGAAAGGGTAAGCACGGGGAGATGCTCACCCAGAGCTGTCTCCGTTTTCCATCCTCCCCTTTTTGGAGGGGCAAGGGAATGTGTGACAGACCCAGTGAGTGTTTTACTGCCGTTTAAACAGGGACATGATAAGACCTGATGTGATGGTCACTGATGAAAACAAAGTGACACTTAAAAGTCATTGAAAACCCTTAGAAACCCTTTCCTCCTAATGGAGCTCCAGCTCTCCATGGTGTAGGTAACATGTGCGAGAGATTTATTCTATTGGGAATTACACCAGATGCTGTAAAATCGTCTTGTGAGTATCTGAAAATCATTTGTCTGCCTCTGACGTGTCTTAGCATGTACAGGAATGCTCTGTTTGGGGAAGTCAGGTCCTTATCCTGATTTATCTCAAGGTACTTGTAAATGTTACTGTAATTCCGTGTTATCAAATCATTTAGCTCTTCCTCTTCCAGAAGCAAGTTATTTTATCTCATGCACCTTGTTTACTTCAAATTAGCCCTGAGGTTGGCCTGAAGTTGCACCTTGTTATTCCTCCACCTCCTGTCTCCGTCTTAGGCTCTGTCGGCAGATTTGGAGGTATAAGTAAATACTTTTTTGTTATTAATAGAATAACTCCCCCCTCCCACACACACGTTTTCTTTTCATTCCAGCCTTGGTTTTCCATGAGAAACTGACATTGCAGTACAAGCGGAAACCTCCCAAATGGCACAAAATAAAAAGCCTTAATTCTCCTAGCAACAAGGTCAGGGCTCAAATCCAGGACCTTTCCACGAGTGTGCGGGAAACAGCCCTTCCAATTACCTGCTCCCCCTGCGGTACGGATCCGGTCGGCTCATCAGCACCTGGGTTTGGGTGGATTTGAAACTCAGCCATGGTATTGTTTAAGAATTCGCCATTCACCGGGGAAGGGTTTGTAGTGGGCTGAGCCCTGAGAAACCTGGGGCTGGTTTTATGGCTTCCCATTGAAACCTGGTGGAACCCCGTGGTGTCGACTGATTTCCCCCTTCCCCACTCATGTGGCTTTGATCAAACCAGGGCTCAGAGAACAACCCCCCCCCCCCCCCCCCAGGGACTGGAACCACTGAGCTTTACCCGGTTCTGCCATTCATTAAAGCATCTGTGAGCTTCCAGTTGTAGATGATAAAATGAGGACCTTTGTGCCTAGCCAGGGATGAAGAATGCTGGTCCTGTGGCAGAGCTGGTTTTGCCCTGTACAGGGGGCATGTATAGGGAACACAGACCTTGGATTAGTATGTGTGATGCAGAAGTTGCTGTGATCCTCCCATGCCCTCTTAATGAGACCTGCCCGTGGTAATGAGACCCTTTGGGCAGGATGGTGCATTCATGATTTTAGGGGAAACATCGCATATTGTTGCATGGATTGAATAGAAGCTCTGCTGAAGGTATTAAGGGATGGCGGGTCCTGGAGGCTGGTGATGGCAAAGCTTTCCCTCTCTTGCTGCCTGTGTGACTCCAGCTTGGGTTGTTGTGCGTGATGGTTCCCATCTCACAGATCCTTTTGTAGCTTGTACATGGCTGTCTGGGAATCAGAGGTGCAAGCATAGACCTGAGGTACTGAAAAACTCATTATTTTACTTTGGTGGAGAGCTGGTTTGGGCTAGTACTATGATGAAAATCTTTCATTTGGCTTTCTTGAGCATTAGATTAGGTTCTGTATGATGCTCCATGCTGTGCTTATCCTTGTCTGGGTTCCATAAAACACCCAGGGCTAAAGTGAGCCTGTATCTACTCTGTAATATCTTTTGATACATAAAACAAAGTGTACACAACATATGACATTCTAGGTGCAGCACCAGTATCTCAGCAGTTAAAGGGCAAAACATATTTTTTGGCAGAAGATTATGTGTGAAAAGAATTTTCTTTGTGCTGAAGGACTTAAAGATGCTGTTGAGTGTTGCTGCAACTCTCTCCAGTGCCGTGTAAAGCCAGAGGTCCATGTGCTGCTGCATTCAAAGTCCAGTTCTGGGTCTGTTGGTCTAGATCACCAAGCTGAGCTGAGCCCTGTTTGCCAACATCTCAGTCCAGTGGCTGCACTGGGAAAGGAGTCCCAGCAGTATGGGTGGTTGGGGAGCCTCACTCGTGCTCAGGAGCTTTTGGCCTCCAGTTCTGTGCTAATCCTAGCTCCTCTGCAAGGAGGAAAGTAATTTAGGGGCATGCCTTGCTAAGCCAGGTCCCTGAGCTTTGTGTGGCTGCTTTTAGGCTGAGATTGAAAGGTTGGGAAAGGGGAAGGACCGTGTCCCCTTTGCCACCAGAAACGAAACTCCCTTCCAAACCAAAGCCTACTCTAAGACACAGTGTAAAACCAGGAGCTTGGGTCACCCACTCTGGCAGTGAAGCTGTGGTGGGACTGGTGGCTGAGAAAACTGCTGCACGCCGTCCTGTAGCTGCAATCCGATCAGGGTGCTGGTGGGATGCTGTTTCATCCGGGCAGTCGCTCTGCCATGGGAACAGCCCTTTCCACTACTGTTGTAACAACACCAGCATCAGGGATGCGAGTTGGAGCTGAGCCTGGGGTGTGCAGTGTGGCTGGGAAATAACTGCTGGCTTCGGTGCTCTGCAGGGTCCCAAGGAGTGGAGTGGGGTCAGGGGTTTCAACACCTCCTGCACCCCGCTGGCTCATGCCTGGAGTTCCACATGAGGTTCATTTGCCAGGTATCATGTCCAGGATGCTGCCAAGGGATTGTTTTCAAAGCACTGGGAAGACTTAGACTAAGGCTTGTAATGATTTTAGTGGGATTTGGGTAGTACCGATGCGAGTCCATAAGATTTTTCATAAAACATAGCAAAATGGTAGAAGGGGAAACACTGTTGTTTGGCCTATATAAAATTCTGATTTGTTTTATTTTTTCTGACGAAGGATGATGTTTTCCTGGCACAAGCTCAATTCATCCTCCTTTCCTAGTGGAAAAAGCAAAGCTAAATATCTTGCTTTCCTTGGAATTGAAGGAGCTGGGCTGGATAAACTCAACTGTCTTTGAAACATCTTTCTGTCCTTGGATAGCAGTGTTTAAGAAATGAAATGATGATCTCATGCTTTTATACTTTTTATTCATTTTTATTTCAGCTGATGCTCGTTACGGCTCCTATTAACAATGTTTGAACCCAAAACAAGGTCCAGATGTGATGATTTTATTTATGCCAAATCGGGTTTTGGTCACTGGGCTTGCATTTGGATAATGAATGTTTTCCTCCTTTTTTCCCTTTTTCAGCCCGATGGCACCAGCAAGGAGTGTGTCTTCATCGAGAAAGTCCTAGAAAACAACTACACGGCACTGATGTCAGCAAAATATTCAGGCTGGTATGTTGGATTCACCAAAAAAGGGAGGCCACGGAAAGGGCCCAAGACCCGGGAAAACCAGCAAGATGTACATTTCATGAAGAGGTACCCAAAGGGGCAAGTGGAGATACAGAAACCTTTCAAGTACACAACAGTCACCAAGAGGACTAAGAGAATACGACCCACCAACCCCAGTTAAAAATAGACAAAAAACAAACAGTGTCACAGTAATAAACCACGAAAAAGAAAAAAAAAAAAAAACTGCACCAGAGGAATATTTTTACATTAAAAATAAGGAAGAAGCTCTATTTTTGTACATTGTGTTTAAAAAAAAATAAAAATAAAAAAAAGGAATAAAGACTAGATGGCAAACGCTGGGGAAAAGCTGTTAGGGATTTATTGTGACTTGAAAAACAAACCGAACTGCTCTATTTAAACTGACTTCTTGTTGTTGATGACACACAGGTGCTTATTTTGCTTTTTTTTTTTTTTGGAAAGGACAACTTTTCAAGCAGATCCCCAGAGGAGGAAAAGAAAAACAAACCAACCAACAAAGTGATTATTAAAGATAAGGAAATAAAAAACCAAAGAAAACCAAAGTTCTTTCCCAAAGTTACTGAGACCCTGCCCCGAAAAGTGCCGGTTTTTGCAGTAATCTATTTATTGTCTGCTGCCCGCCGGCCCAAGACAAGATGGTGTGTGCTGCAGTGAGTGAGTTTCCGTGGAGTTCTCGACGCATCGATCTTCTGTAACCTTTCTGACGACATAAGGTGTCACGGCTCCGTGATCCTGCATTATGCTCAGTTCTGGAGAATGCTGCTAACTACATTCAAGTGACTACAAGATGACCTAGTACACCAATGATAAGGGAATATTTTAAAACCAGCTATATTATATATATTATATATATATAAGCTATTTATTTCACCTCTCTGTATATTGCAGTTCCATGAACCAAGTATTACTGCCTCAACAATTAAAAAAATTATTTAAAACACGTGTACATACTTTTGCTGTTCACACTTCTTTCCCCTCCCTGAGTAGTGGGGTTTTTAATGCATATTTATCTTTCATGTGAGGTCAGCAGGATATGTTTGGGGTAGCTTCCCCACTATAATCTTCATTGTTAATTCTGCAATTCCTCCTTTTCCTCAGTGCTGTCTTCTTCCCTTGGTGTTCCCACAAGGGAGAAATCCCGCATGGGTGATGATGGGCTGAGAGTGGGAGAATCCTCAACTCCACACTGGTATTTTTCAAGAGCCAGAGTTGTATTTGATCCCTTTCAGCCCAACAAGTATTTCCTGAAGCTTTGGCCAAGCAGAAGGAAAACTGGAAAATCAGCGCCTGACTCAATTCACACGTACTGACGTATGGCTTGTGCTTCCTTCACCAGAGGTTTTGAGAGGGGCTGTTTGTTTCAGCTATTTAATCCAATACTGTATCTTTCAAACCTTGCCCTCGGTGGGACAAATCCCTCTCCCTTCCCTGTGTAGTTCTCCCAGCCTGTCAGTAACTTGCTTTCTGGGTTGGTCCAGCCAGCTTTGCCTGGTGTTTTGCAGATGATGTGGATGATGTAAAGCCACATATAAATGCAAGGTGTGAACCTGTATCCACAGACTGACCCATGCAGTCGGTGTGGAACAGCAAGGGGGCAAAAGAAGTAAGATGAACTAACTGACCTCAGATTTTAGTGAAAATGAGAACTGAGCCCAAGTGAAGCTTCAAGGAGAAGCTCGTTTGACTTCTTCCTTCTCTCTGTGTGCAGACACGGCTACACTCGCTGATGCCAGCCAGGCCTGAAAATGCTCAAAGCCACTAAGAAAGCTTTTTCTTGTTAATCAGAAGAACGACTCTCCCCGGAACAAGCTTTCTCAAGATAACTTTGAGAGCTGCAGCCAACTCCTGCAGATCAAAGCTGTTTGGGAGATGGTGCAGATAAGCGTGCAAGCTTGAGGATGCTTATCTGAAACAATCTCCAAACCTTGCAAGCCTAGAGAAAAATGAACAGTGCTAAGCAGGGTCACTCCAATGCTGCTCCACGAAAAGCTGGGCAGCCTTACAGGTGATACCTTCACCCCAGGTACGCATGGGTGGTCACTTGAGTAGCTCCTCTCCCAGTGAATATACTGGCAGCTGCTTTCCTGGTGCACCTGGAGACCAGCACGGAAGCGGGACCTGATGGCACAGTGGTGGAATTGGTTGGTGGCGGCTGGAAGGCTTGGCCAGCTTTGCCTTCAGATTGATTCATGTGGGAGAGATTTGGGGGAAGTTCAGAGGAGCACTGGGGGTGGAGGATTGGGAGCGGCTGGAGATGTGCTGTGTTAGTACCTCCAAGAGGAGAAACCCAGTTAATTTCCAGAGCAAGAAAGGATTTATGGGTGCCTTTTTTCTCCTTGAAATATCGCCATGGCCCATGGCACTGATGGTTTCACAGTCGGAACGACAGGGTTGGTTTGCCATTGGGGAAATTGAAGGGGTGGAGGCAGTAAATGCTGGAGGAGGCTGGGTAGAAGGGATCTCTGTGAGCAACCAGGGAGGATCTGCTCCCTCTTCCACAGCACCCACCGGTTTTGGAGACCAGCACATTGGAAATAGGGGTCATGCAACTGGCAGCAGGGGCTTCTGGCACTTGTGTTGATGAGTTATAAGAGTATTTCCTGGACAGCAGTAAGGTGAAAAAGTGAAAAGTCAGTGTGGTGAGGAGATAGGATGCTCACCTGGGTTAGGTGCCATTGGAGAGATGTTGGCTGAGGATGGTGTGCATCAAGTATTTGTGTTTGAACCTCTGCTTTTCAGGCTTTCTTAACAGCAACAAAACCAGGGGCAAAGACAAGAAGAATTTGTACCCCTCAGAGTACCTTCACACTGGGCAAAAGTGTGCTCTGGGGACGAGGGGCTCAAGAAATGAACCGGAACGTGGGAAATCCACCACGTGCCAAGTGATGGGCGTTGTGTTTGTTGCCACCAGGCACATGGTGTTTCTGTGCTTGGGTCGTGCTTGGTGGTTAGGATGGAGGTTGCAAGTGGCTGTTGACAGGTCGCTCTGCTGAACTCCAGACTCTGGAGAAGCAGCTTGTCTGTGGTGTTTACCATGCCTTCCTTTAAAGTGTTCAGGCTCCCTGAATACGAGCTGAGATTCCCCGTGTAGGCTATTACATTTGATTTACTTTATAATTGAAAATTGTTAACGAGGATTTAATTACTATGGTGGAAACAACCTCAAGAGCGAGGGGTGTAACATTCGCTGATTGCTTGAAGCAACTGGTGGAATGAATGTGTGTGGAGCTCTGGGTGGGCACACTTTAAAACAAATACATTACTTAATTGGATTTAATAAGAGTATATTGTAGCTTCTGTTTCAGAAATGCTGCTAGATTTGTAGCAGTGTTTTCATAGCTGAGATCAGATAGTGGCACGCTCTGATAACGCTGTGGTGGGGTTTGTCATGAAGCCGCTGGGCATGCCGCAATGGGAGTCCATCCCAGGAGGGAAGCTTTGTAGGTCCAGGGAGGTTTTTGTCAATACGTTGAGCATGTTGCCCAAACCAGACTGCTGTTCATTGAGACCTTCCGGGTGGTGGGTCTCCTGTGCTGTTCCTTGGTGGTGAAGGATGGGTGGTCAAAGCTCAGCTATGCTCTGTGTCTAGTTCAGGTTAGGCAAACCCTTCACCACAGCATCGTCTTGCCCTGCCTGAGGCTCACCACTGGCCGAAAAGACAAAGTGTCCTGGTCCCTGTGCAAGGTTTCTTCCAGCTCCCTGCAACTTCTCCTGGACCACAGAGCTGTTGGCGGGTGGGAGCGGTTGATCACGTTTGACATCCCTGCAGCTGGTGCCCCGAAGGTGGTGTGGTCTTTCCTGCTTGACAGCCAAGTAGTTTTGCTCTGCCTCTGCCTTGTTGATGAAGATGTAGGTGCCATTGCAGGCTCTGGGCTGCAAAGCCAAGTGGTTGCTGCGCCTCATTTGCCCTGTTTGAGCCTGATCTGTCCCTCTTGCCAGCAGCTGGCTTTTGGCAATGTATCCTTTGGGAGCATGTGAAACTTGGTACTGCTTTTTCTCCTCTGTCCTTGCAGTTGTCTTTAGCTCAGGATCATCCCCATAGCTCTGCTTCACAGACTCCCAGAGATGAGCTTTTGCAGATGTGAAGCAGCAGAGAAGCCTCTTCCAGGAGCACAGCTGCAGTTTTAGCTGTGCCCTTCTGCAGGTGGGAGGTTATGGCACCTGCACAAAGGTGTAGCCTACCTTTGAAAGGGAGCTGATCACTTCAACTACATCACTTACACAGCAGTATGTACGATATCTACACAATTAATACTAGCTTCTGGGAGTGTAGCTGATAGACTCCAATAAATGTCTCTGGGTGGGACAAAGTAAGAAAGAAGCAACTGGGGCAAAAATAATGAAGTCTGGGGAAGGAATGTTGCCCTAATGCTTGATAAGAAGACCCAGTTTTTAGGTCCATGACTTGTGGAGTTTATGCCATAGCTTAAATGAGCTGGGTGCTGTAGTGCCCGTGAACCCGTTGTGTCTACAGGGAGATGCGTGTGGCAGTGGAGCAGAGCTTGGGAAGGATCCTGGAAAGCACCATGAGGCCTGAGCTCAGCAAACCCCTGCCGTCTGCACTGCCTCAAACTGTCTTGGTCTTTGCAATAGCTTATTTACCCTGGCTCATGGAAACACAACAAGGTAGAAGTTAGGTTTGGTTTAAACAACCCTTTGAGCCCAGCCTGCTCCAGCTCTTGGTGCAAGGCTTCACTAGTGCGTAGTGCTAGGAACAGTGTTTTGCCCCATGGACGTCCATCATCTTTCCTGGATTCACTGAGAGTTTTGGTGCCTCCATGGTTTTGCAAAAGCAGTGGGATGAGATTACAGCCAGGACCTCAGGCTCTGGATGGAGAATATGGTCTAGCAGTTTGTCTTGTCTAGGTGAGTTTGTCCACCAAGCATGATCTGATTGAGCAAACGGAGTTGTGTCTTGGTGGGATAGGTTGGGTAACGGAAAACATGTGACTTTGACTAAAAGAGCATGCTATGTTACCATACCTGCCTTTGAGGTTGTCATATGTGGAAAGGTGTGTGTGTGTAGCGGTGATTGTACTTTGTAGGGCATTTCAGTGCCCCAGAAAATGCAGGTATATGCCAATGAAGGAGGAGAAGGTGTGTGTATATTCATCTATCTGCAAGGGTTGCCCTCAGAGCCCTTTGCCTGATATGGCACAGCCCGGAGTCCCGTTTGGTCCCACTCATCCCACCTAGCTGAAAAAAATCAGACAAAGCCTGGTTGTCCTCTAGGGAAAAAACTTTTGTCTCCTGTCCACTCCCAACGTTAAACCCATATTGTGTTAAACATCGTGATTTTGGTCTGCTGCAAGGAAAAGCAGGTAAATTCCTATGCATAATTTCCTGGTGTAGTGCCAAAGGGTGGAAGTTTATACTTAAGATTCACAACAGCTGTTTCAAGTGCCTATGTCTCGTGCCAGCCATACCACCTGAATGGCCAAGGGATATATATAAAACTTCAATTATTTTTTGACTGTTCGTTGTTATTCATTTGGAGATGGATGAGAGGAGATTCCTCACGGATGATGTAACCTACACAGACTCTGTTATTTCCAACGGTGTGAGCTGAAAAATTGGGGAGGAAAAATCAGGTCAAACTGAAACTTCTTTTTAAGTGAGACAAAGTACAGGGTGGAGAGGTTTGGGTTTACCAAAGACATTTAATTCACTGCATTTAACAATCTATTTCATTTATTTATATATAGGGGACTTTAAAGGGGGGAAAGAGAAATCAGAAGCTTCACTTTGGATTCAAAAGCAGTATTTGATGTGTAAAAAAATCTCCTCTGCTTGTTCTCAGTGGAGTCTGTTTTCAATGTCCCTGAATAGATTTGAGCACTCTCTAAAACTCCATTTCTGTGGCAGTTTACTGCTTCTTTAGCAAATCCCACCTTGCTCCACTGGATGAGACCATGGCTGGTAACTCCCACCACCATTCCACAGAGC